GACGGCGTGGATCTTACGATACATACGAAGTCTACGATTAAAAACGAAACCCGAAGATAATGTCGACCCGTTAACAGTTGTTGAGTTAGAACAGGCCGAAGAGTTATGGATCAAGACAGCACAAAAAGGGTTACACAAACGTGTTAAGAACAAAGAGTTCAATATGCTTAGTCCATTCACAGATGACAAAGGAATCATAAGAGTCGGCGGACGAGTGGATAAAGCTATCGTAACGTATGATTCGAAGCATTCAGTACTTCTTCCCAAGAACCACCACATTTCATACCTGATTACCAAAGATGTACATCAGATTACTCACACTGGGATAGCGTCGACAGCGGCGAAAACAAGAAGAAAATTTTGGATTATCGGAGTGCAAAAATTGGCAAAGTTAATCAAGAAAAAGTGTATTTACTGCAAGAAGTCGCATCCAAAGATTGAATCGCAAGTTATGGCTGAACTGCCGAAGATAAGATTGATACCTCAAACACCTCCATTTTACCATACAGCTTGTGACTATTTCGGTCCGTATAAAGTCAAAATTGGAAGAAATAAAACCACTAAACACTATGGTGTTTTGTTTACTTGTCTGAACACTCGGGCAGTTCATTTGGAACTTGCAACAGACTGTTCAACAATGGAATTTATCCAAGTACTCCGAAGATTCTTCGCGATTAGAGGTTACCCTTCATTAATGTTGAGCGATAATGGAACACAACTGGTCGGCGCAGAGAGCGAACTAGCAAAGATGATCCAAGGTTGGGATGTGAAGAAACTCAAGGAGTATGCAGCAGATAAAAGAATGGAGTGGAAATTCATTACTCCTAATGCCCCACATCAAAACGGATGTGCCGAATCGTTAGTAAAAAGTTGTAAATTAGCCCTTAAACAAGCCATGGGAGATAACCTTCTCACACCATTTGAATTGCACACCGTACTGCTTGAAGTAGCAAATCTGGTAAACCAACGACCAATTGGTAGACCAATTAACGACCCCGATGATGGTACATACCTATGTCCGAATGACCTTTTATTAGGAAGAGCTTCCTCGCATGTTCCACAAGGACCATTCCTGAAGACAAAGAACCCGCGTCATAGAGTTGAATTTCTACAACAGATTCTTGACTCGTTTTGGAAACAATGGACCAGAGACGTCTTCCCCTGTTTAGTTTCACGAAAGAAATGGGATGTTCAACGACGCGATGTCAAAGTCAACGATATTGTCATGTTAGTTGATTCGAATGCGGTACGAGGCAATTGGACGATCGGAAGAATTATTGAAGTCCATCCAGGTAAAGATGGAAAAGTTCGAAATGTAACAGTAAAAACACAAAATGGTAATTACCGAAGACCTATTACTAAAATCTCAGTAATACACCCCGTGGACGGAGAATAGAATGAGAACAATGTCCTCATTGGGGTGGAGGATGTTTCGCTAAGTTAAAAATAGATAAATAATTACGTCATTGAACAGACAAAGTCACGTGACAGAAAAGAGCGGGAAATAAACACGTTGGTTTTAAGCTGTTTACTCGAGGTTTAACGTTCAGAAATAGGTTTATATTTGGTGTATTGTAAAGTGATATAGGCCAAAGAAGTAAGTTCATGTTGTTTATCATAACTAATTTACTTTATTCAGTAGATAATTCTTGTATTTATACTTTTAGATCGAATATTATTACTACTACTAACTACTACAACTGATTATTATACGATATTTGGAAATTATTTGTGGTCACTTTACATACCGTTTCTGATTCTGGCGAGCCAGCCCTCTTCAATGACTTGTCATGACTCATGAGTATTAGTACTACAGTAATTTTACACTTTTTGTGGCTAGCCCGTTCGCGGGCTAGCCACTATGATACGGGATGAGCGGTGGTGGTCGGTCAACGATGTCTGTCCGGATTGTCGTGAAATTATCGTGAGCGGAAGTGAGGCCGACAGTATGGCGATCGTTTGTTTCGTGGTTTCGGTTATCATCGGAAATTTGGCGGAAGTGATGAGGCCCGACAGTTTGACGATCGGTTATTTCGGTTTTCATCGGAAATTTTTGAACTTCATGCCTGATAAACATTTCATGCAAACAAATATTTTCGTTTTGAGGTCTTTTCGACAGCTGCTGTTTAAAAAAATACGAAAATTTTGCGAACGATAAGAGAAGTTCTACAAAAGGTAAGTTAGGAGAAATCAAGGAGATTTTGATCACGCCTGATATAAAGCTTTATATAGTGAGTTTATAATCCTGTTTATAATCAAACGTTCTTGCACAGATCTTGAATTTTTATCCATTATGTGGGTAAATTTATAAGAAGCAAGCCCATTGTTTACATATTTTACAACGATACTAAAACCGCCCTATCCACTTGCAGGTATAAAACTACAATTAACACAGAAAACAGGCGGGACTATTTTATGAATTTATGCTAATATAGTCTATTGTAGTCACTAGCCTGGAAGCTCAGTCTGTTTACATACAGTTGAAGGATCTTCTAGATGGAAGTAATTGAGTGAAAATGTATTATTTTACATTCATTAGACCTATTAAACCAGGAAATGCAACTGTAGGTGCAGTTTATTTTTGGATATCTAGTCCAGATGTAAATAACATATATCTGATCTAGGATCAGCAGGGACGTAGAGACACGGGCGTGTGTGTGTGTGTGTGTGTGTGGGGGGGGGGGGTTGTAAACCCCACAACTGTGAAACTCAGGTAAAACTCATGTACATTGTAAATTTTGACATTTTCAGGTCAACTTTGTGTAACAAAGTCGTTATTTTTGTAAAATGATGACCATTTGACATCCGGCACCCCACCCCAAACTTCAGATGCTTTGCTACGTCTCTGAACATTAGTGCAATCACCATACAACACTGACCCTTGCAGTTACGAGGGTATATATGAAGAAGAAAACCCACAGCCATGTGATGAGGTCATATCGACACGTTTCAACATTTCTTTTCAGCACTTAATAACAGCAGTGTCAATTGAGTAGCATGTTCATACTCTTATTGCCACAGTTAAATGTTGTTTAACCCAATGAGCTGCAATGTGCCCCAGTGCACCCTACTTATTTCTTTTACTTGTCTAACGCCAGACGATTTTACCCGTCAATGGGGAAGCTCTGCTGCTTAATGGGTTAAATTTATACCTGCATCAGTTACAATGTGTCAGTCTTGTGAGCTGCCAGTAAATATTTGGTTCTTAATTTTAAACAATTTGCAGATGAAAGCACAATTCAAAATCATAGTGATGCATGGCATCTACAGTACTTCAAACAACTAAGTGAACACATATTCTGATCAATTTGATGATAATATGGTGACTGGTGATAATATTGGATAATATAGGAAGATCAGGATATTTGCACAAGTGTCAGGGCAATACAAGTTAGTGGTGTCGGTGATGACATAATTGATTTGATGAGTTCATTATAAATTCCGATGCTGTTAGATCTTACAATAAATAAAAATGTTTAAAAATATAATATAATATATTATTAAATACATTATGTTAAATGAAGAACTTTGAATTTAAAGGTTTTATGAAATCTGCAATGCCAGCAATTCAAGAAAAGCTAATAACTTGTAAACCAGACAACAGAATATATCTGTAACAAGAAACCGGTGTAATGAAATCTTAGTGAATTACATATTAGTGCAATTTTGAAAAACAAAATAAAATTGACATTAGTTGCTGTATGTATTATATCATTATTAAAGCAAAACTATGTTGCTTTTAAATCAAGTGATTCTAACCATTTGTTGGCATTGTAAGAAAGATACTGCATCTGTTTTATTTTGACCATTGTTCTATTGTAATGATTAATTTTGTATCAAAATGAATGTTTGTGATGAATGTTCATGACAATGTGAAGTCCGGCTGTATTCGACCAGGCTGAGTAGGCTAGCCACATGTACGCAGTGCGTACCTATTTTTGAGAGTTATGTTGACATATGCTAACCCAAGTTAATGTTATTGATGGAATGTGTGTATTGTCTCACATCTCACCGAACTGTGGTAATGTATTAGAAATTATTCGTATTGCGTTCATGTTAACAACCGCGCCTGCTATTGCTATCACAAGTTGATTGCTCTTTAAAATTAGAATTGTAAACTTTCAGAGCCATATGGCATCTATGTACGAATCTTTTGATGGTTCCCACATTTCGGTGAGATCCATAATACTGACTACTGTCCATGTATATTGTAATTTTAGTTATAGTATTGTGTTTATAATACAGAAATTGGAACATTTATGTCAACTTATATTGCAATAATTCATTCCAATCTTGGTCTGTTGGAGAAATTGTAA